TGCTGAGCCAACCCGGCCAGGGCTCAGGCCCGTTCTCGCAGGCACCCTGGAAATGGCTAAGCCCCTGCAAAAAGCCCCCCCTGTATTTGCCAGCTCAGGGCTGCAGGGCTGCCCTTGCTGGGGGTTGCTCTGCACCCTCGCTGGACTCTGTCCTTAGGAGGCGGAGTGTTGGGGAACTCAGGGTCCCTTGTTCCAAGAGCTCATCTGACCCCTGGCCTCAGCCCTGAGGAAGCTGCTGCCTCCTCCCCCAGCCTTCTTCCCACCAGGGCTGAGGGCACCCCAAGCAGCTGTTCTCAGGCTGCAGTATGTGCCCCACAGACATGCTCCGTGGGGTCTCCCTCAGCCCCTCAGCTCTGTTCTGAGTCCCCAGCCCTTCTAGGCCAATAGCTCAGGACCCCGAGGGCAATCCCAGGTGGACCCTGTCACTGTGAGGGTCACTGGGGAGGGAGGTAGCAGCAGGGGCCGCTAGGACAGTCACAGCTGGGTGGCCTGCCCCCCGCCCCAGCACCGTGAGCTCACTCCACCACAAGGCTGGGCTGCCTGCCAGCAAACAGGCCCTGGGCTCAAAGCCGCGCCCTCCCCTGCTGCCCTCTCCGGGGCTGGTCAGTCTCAGGGCTGTCAGTGCGGAGACTGAGACATCTGCGTTGCACAATGGTTTGGTGAAGGTCCTAATCCATTCCGGTGATGGCAAGGTGCAGAGCTGGCTCCCCGTGCCGCCCAGAGTCGCGGGCTGTGACAGGTTGTGGCACCAGCCCAGCAGGTGGCGCTTTAGGGGCAGAGGGACGTGGTCAGGTTGTCTCTTTATCCGGAGTCTGGAAGCATCCGGGGGCTTTCATGGACAGGAGGCCTGAGGGAAGAGCTTGAAGAGCGACCAGGAGGTGTCTGTGGCTGGGGGCAAGGCCGTCCAGGGCCTCGAGGAAGATTCGGGGAGGCCAGGGGCCCTCTTTCCAGAGGCCACACCCCCGGGGTGCACAGCAGGCGTTGGTGTGGGGGTCCATGCCACGTCCTGTGTAATTTCCCAGCGGTCATTTCGTGGTGTGTCAGGCGAACATCACCATATAGCACACCTCCTGATGAGGACAGTTTCGAATTTAAGGAGAGGCTAAACTAGATCATGATGTTTAAGAATGAGTCATTGTGAAATGATTGTTAGGGTTTCATGAAAACCGCACAGGTTGGGAGCCGGGGAGGCCGGCAGGCGGACAAACATCTCCGAGCAAAGGGCAGCCAGGCCTTGACGGAGGCTGGGGACACCCTCTGTGCCGCCCCCGGGCCCTCCCGGCCTCCCAGGGGGACCTCTGGAGTTTGCCCCACTGCATGTGACAGCACCAGGCTGCCTTTCTTTTGTTTACCTTTTGCTTGTCAATACGCACTCCCTTCTAAAGTCCAGCTGTGCAGGTCAGCCGTGCCTGGTGCACACACCGCAGAAGTCACTCACTGTCTCTTCATGTCACGGGTCTAGGTAAGGCCACGGCTGACCTTTGACCTGCCCAGCTCAGCTGAGGTGGCCTGCTCAGGGCCTACTGGGGGGGACCACAGAGCCCTTCACGGGAGCCTGGGGGCGGCCATGCAGGTCCATAGGGATGGAGCACCTACTGTGTGCACAGCGTGTGGGAGGCCCCAGGAAAGCTCACAGGTGGTGACACCAGGGCCTCCCCCAGGGCCGGGTGCCCCCCGTGTGGGCGTGGGGCTCAGGGGCTGCAGCGTGATCACGGAGGGGCAAGGAAGAGACAGCTCAGCATGGAGTTTGCAGGACTGTGCCATCGCCCATCTGTTCATTTACTCTCAGTGAGGGTTTTTGAAAAACAAGGAAAAGAAAGCTTTTCTGTGTTTTAGGACCATACCGAGGTACAAAACAACGCATAGAAATGAAGGGGGACGCCCTGGCCGGTGTGGCTCAGCGGTTAGAGCGCCGGCTTACGGACCACAGAGTCACAGGTTCGATTCCAGTCAAGGGCACGTACCTCAGTTGCAGTTTGGTCCCCAGCCCTGGTCAGGGTCATGCGGGAGGCAACCAATCGATGTATCTTTCTCACGTCGATGTCTCTCTCTCTCTCTCTCTCCCTTTCCCACTTTATCTGGGGAAAAAAATGAAAGGGGGACCTGACTGGTGTGTCACATGTTCCTGGTCAAGGGCATGTACCTGGGTTGCAGGTTCGATCTCCGGCCCCACTTAGGCGTATGGGTGAGGCAACCAATCAATATGTCTCTCTTGCATCGATGTTTCTCTCTCTCTTCCTCCTTCCTTCCCTGTCACTCTCTCTCAAAAAAATCAAAATCCCCCTGGCCAGTTTTGCTCAGCGGTTAGAGCGTCGGCCTGCGGTCCAGAGACCCCCAGGTTCAGTTCCCGCTAAGGGCACGTACCTCGGTTGCAGTTTGTCCCCGGCCCTGGTTGGGTCATGTGGGAGGCAGCCACTCGATGTGTCTCTTTCACTCTCTCTCTGTTCCTCCCTCTCTCCCTCCTGCTCTATCTGAAATGCAAAAATGTCCTCTGGTGAAGATAAAATATATATATCTCCATCCTTGGGTGAGGATTCACAAAACAAAAAGCAAGGGGTCATGGGGAAGGCAGCAGGCCTGCTGGAGGAGCATGCGGTGGGCCCAAGTTCGGGCCATGGGAGGGCTTACTGTGGACGGATGAGTGACAGGCTGGGTGGAGAGTGAAGAGGAGACACACCAAGCACGGTCGTGACCCCACTCTGGGCCGGGAGCAGCATTCAGTTCCAGCAACGTCCGCATGCAGGCAGAGCACGGCCGCTGGGTGAACAGTGGCTTTGGTCACTGGGTGGCTGGGTGTCTCCGGCACGCCTAGCTGTCGAGGCCTCAGCGAATAGGCATGTACCACATACAGACCAGAACACCAGGACCCCAGGGTCCCTTGCAGACTGAATGAGGAAGAAACCGTTCCCGCACGTCTGTCTGTCCGCTCCTCCTGGTCCGTCCCGTGGAGGGCATCCTGGCTCCGGCCAGCCCTGGGCCATGGATACCGCATTCCAGGGGCCCCTCCTCACACAGAGCCCCTGCAGGCCGGGCTGTCCAGGAGAGTGTGGGGTTTGCATTTTACATCCTTGAAAGTCTTTTTCCTTCTCAAATTAGCTGTTTCTCTCAAAAGCCGGATGTAGCCATTCGCTTTCGTCATGAGGTTGTGCAGCGCCAGGTGGGCCTCCCTCTCCTGTGGCTCTAGGACCCCCAGGTCAGCTGGCTCGGGTACCCTGCCAGCGCTGACCTGTGGGGAAGTACAGTGTCCAGTACAGTGTCCAAGGCATGCTGGTCCCCAAGTGAGGCCAGGAGCAGGGCCAAGGCCACAGGTGGTCAGTGCTCAGACCGGCGCCCAGTGGGGGCGGGTGGGTGGGGGAGGGGCAGTGGCTGAGCAGGGTTCCCTGGCTGGTCAGACCCCTGGGAATCTGAGGAGCTTCTGAGCTTGCAGGGCACTGGACATGTGTCCTGGGCTGGGCCTGGCTGAGGTCACCCCTCTGGTGTGGCTGCCCTGCTCAGCCCAGGGCACCCTGGATCGAGACCCGTCACTGGTGGCCCCAAGCTCCCAGAGATCCTCACATTCAAAGTTCTCTCTGCTTCCAGGTCTTTCTCCTCATTTCCCAAAACTGGAATAAAAAGTCAGAAACAGACTTGGCTGGGCGGCTCAATTGGTTAGAGCATCACCCAGATTGCCCAGGTTTAGGTCCGATCCCCAGTCGGGGCACATGCCCAGGTGGTGGGCCCCATCCCCAGTGGGGCGTGCAGGAGGCAGCCAGTCGATGTTCTCTCTTCTCAATGTCTCTGTCTCTCTCCCTCTCCCTTCCTCTCTCTCTAAAATCAATTTCATTTATTTTATTAAAATCTTTTTTAAAAATTGATTTTAGAGAGAGAGGAAGGGAGAGGGAGAGAGAGACACATGGATGAGAGAGAACAGTGATTGGCCACTTCTCGCACGCCCCCCACTGGGGATCTGGCCCACAACCTGGGCATGTGCCCTGACCAGGAATCGAACAGGCAACCTCCTGGTGCATGGGTTGACGTCAGTCACTGAGCCACACCAGCTGCGCAGTATCTATTTTCTTATTAATCAATTATTATTTATTTTTTATTCCTCACCTGAGGATATTTTTCTACTTATTATCAGACAGAGTGGGAGAGAGGGAGGGAGACAGAGAGAAACATGGATGCGATAGAGCCACATCGACTGGCTGCCTCCCACATGACCTGACCAGGGCTGGGGATGAACCACAAGGGAGGTACATGCCTTTGACCGGAATTGAACCTGTGACTCATTGGTCCGCGGACCGACGCTCTAACCACTGAGCCAAACCGGCCAGGGCCAGAATCTATTTTTTTATATCAAAGCATCAACAAACGGTCTGACAAGCAATTTTAAAGCAGGTTTAAACAGTCTCCAGCACCCAGGGTAAATGTCACCCTTACCGGAGGCACTTGCTTCGCAGGAAGTGGAGGTCGTGGCGTAGGTCACCGCTCCGAGTTCCTCAGCAAGGGGCCGCCTGTTGATGAGAGCACATCGGGCAAGTGGGCCAAAGGTCCCACAAAGGGTCTTGAAATAAAGCCGGATGCCCAGCGGTGGAACGTGGGAGGGGTCACGGGCTGGGCGTCCAAGGTAGTCTCAGGGTCAAGCCGGGTCCACAGCCCCCCTGTGGCTCAGCGTCTCAGTCATCAGGCAATTCTGCGAGTTTTATTCTCAAACTGAAAGGGTGAGCCCCATGGTGAAGTGGGCCCTCTCCCGGTGCCTTGCTCCCTGTCCTGTCACAGTGGCCACCAGCGGTGTGCACAGTGGAAAGGCACAGGGGGAGGAGGGGCTGGGCTGCAGAGAGCAGGCTCAGGCAGGCACACTGGCCTCCGGGCACCAGTGGTCAGGAGCCTGGGGCCCCTGCCCGCCCTGGCCCAGCTGCGGCCCTCTGACCTACTGGCTTCCCTTCATCCAGTGAGGGCCCCAAGAACCAATGAGGAGGACTTGGGACCCTTGAGGCCTCCCTCCTGCTGACCATGCTGGCCCCAGCATCCTCCCTCCCTGTTCCCATGGTGCTCTGGACCCTCCTCATGGCCGTCTCTCTGGGCGCTGAGACAGACCGTGAGTCTGGGGTCTCCCTCTCTCTGTGGGGAGGGGGAGGGGGCACACCCAGACTGGGCTCAGGCCCAGGGAATGACTAAGACCCCAGGGAGGGCTGTTGGTGGACGTCCTGAGGCCCAGCCATGCCCCACATGTGTGGTCCCCTCCACACAGTCTGGGACAACCCCATCTGCACCAAGAATGTCTCCGTGACCAGGGGGGAGCGGGCCGTGATGACCTGCACCATCTCCAACCCCTTCCACAATGTCACCATCTGCCGGAGAGACCACAGTGGGCAGCACTGCCAGCTTATCTTCGAGGAGGTGACCCCAAGGTGCACTTCCCAGGATGGGTGGCATCTCTGGGTTCAAGGACACACCGCACAGCTGGTGACAGAGGAAGCCCGGGACGCCCAGGCTGGGTGTTACCACTGGATAATCGTGGGGCTCCAGATCAGCTTTGAGGCCACCACCCTGCACCTCTCAGGTGAGGACCAGGGCACCTCGACTCCCCCTGAAGTGCCCAGAGCCTGGACGTGGGCCCAGACAAGACTCAGCCCCTCCCGTCCCAGCATCCCTGCGGTTCCCTCGCCACCTCCAGGGCGCCCCGGACACTGTCCACCTCGGGCACCCAGCACCTCCTCTCTGAGCCCGCGTCACTGCTCGCTCGCTCCCTCCCTCCACTCCTTAAGACCCGGCTACTTTGATTCACTGAGAAAAAGGAACCGGTCAACAGAGACCATCCCCAGCCCCCTTCCACCCCTCCCTGACTTCTGTGCCCCCCTCTGTGTCCTCCCGCTGAAACACAAGCCCCTTCAGAGTGCCCCTGGGGCCACCCTGCTCTGCGGACACCCTCCCCTGTCAGCCCAAGAGCACTGACCCCCCTCCCCCAAATCCTGCTCACCTCACTGTCTTCCTTTGCTCAGACTCCTGACTCACCTCCCCCTTCTGGTGCTGAGGGAGGGCCTGAGAGCTGCCCGCAGCCTGGCTGGGCCCTGGGAGGGGGGCAGTGAGCCCCCAGCCCTGCTGCACCCCTGAGCCTGGGTCTCATCGGATGCCTGGGCCAGGTGGGGGTGGGGGCTGGCGCAGGCTGGCCCCGGGCAGCCCCCTGACCAGCCCTCATCGTCCTGCAGAACCTCCGGAGCCGCACTCCACAGCCTCCAGGGGTAGGTGTTTTCTCTCTATCCAGAGCTGCAGGTGAGGAGCCCTTGGTGTGCTCAGGAGCCTGTGCCCCCTTCCTGCATACCTCTGGCCCTGGGCTTCTTGGCTCAGGGTGGGGGTGCTGTCCCCTCAGGGTGTGCTCAGGGGGGCCATGGCTGCTGCTGGAGTGAAGAATTTACAGTCTGCCTGCTTCCTGCTGCCACAGGGACCCAGCGCATTCGGGGCTACCCGCCCCAGGACCCATGCGCACTCCAGGACCGGAGCCCGCCCCAGGACCCGAGCCCGTCCCAGGACCCGAGCCTGCCCCAGGACCCCAGCCCGCCCCAAGGCTGGAGCGTGCCCCAGGCCTCGCTTCATACACCTCTCATCACAGTCTTCGCCATCCTCTGTGTCCTGGTGCTGGGAGGCGTATTGGCCTGGTGCAGAAGTCGCCGTAACCCCAGGCCTCGCTTCATACACCTCTCATCACGGTCTTCGCCATCCTCTGTGTCCTGGTGCTGGGAAGCATATTGGCCTGGTGCAGAAGTCGCCGTAAGCCCGGACCTTCCAGCTCCTGTAGGTACAAGGCCCACCTCTGGTCAGTGGACTGGGTGGGAAGTGGGGGGAATACAGGGTCCCAGAGAGCCAGTGCCCTCCCCTAGAGGACCACTGCCCTCCAAGCCCTCACTTTGTCCCCAGGACACCCTGGAGGGTAGCATGAGGAGCGGGGGCTGGACTCCCATGAGACCCAGGACGTGTGACGCGCTGTGTCTGCATCCGTGTGCCTGAACCTGCTCAGCCCATCATTCCCTCCCTCCCTCCCCAGATGTGTAGGCTCTGAGCTGAGGAGTGGAAGCCCATCAGAAGGGTGATCAAGCCCACCTGGCACCCGGAATCCAGACCCAGGGTGGTGACACCCCCAGCCGTGGAGCCCCTGCCCTTTCTGATGGACTGATGCCAAGGTGCAGAGGGAAGCAAGACCCTGTCCCGGTCAGCGTCTGAGGGGGCTCTGTGCCCAGCACACAGGGCAGCCCCTCGGGAGGCTGACAGTCTGGTCCCTCCCACCAGGGACAGGGGACGGGCCCTTCTCCATCTCCATGCCAGCGTCTCTCTCTGGCTCCCTCTCCCGGCCACCAAAGAGCTGTAAATCTCAAGTTCAAAGCACTTGACCTAACAGGACCAGCCCCTTCTGTGCCCCCTCCTTCCAGGGCCTGGCCTGGGATTCTTCTGGGAGGACACTACTGTCACCTCAGAGATGCCCTAGTTTGGGGGTTGAAGTTGATCTTAGACATACCCCTGTCTTGACCCTGAGTAAGAACAAGTTTTGGGGACCTTCCTGTCAGCAGTCACTAGAGCAAAATGGGGGTGGTTAGAGGCCTAAGATGATGTGTGCCCATGTCCACCACCAGGGGCAAGTCCCTCCGGAGGAGGCTGATGGGTAGCAACAGGCAGGACTTGTGCCCACCCCACGGCCATTAGCCACGTGTCTTCATAGTTGCCACGAGGCAGCGGGAGCAAGTCCATCTGTGATAAGTACTCACAGGGCTTTTCCTAGAAGTACTGTATTCAATGCTTTGAAAAATATCACTAACGCTAAGTCTCAAAGTGAATAAAATAACCCATCAAATGAGCAGGGGAATATGTGTTCTAACATGGAAAAATACATAAAAGTCTACAAGAAGCTGCTTCGTGTCTGAAAATGCTAAACTGTCCTAAGGCATCAGAGAGACACAGGCCTCCGGATGTCCCAGCTCGCCATGGACCCTGACTGTGACCGGGACCCTGATCTGAATGGCTTCTCAGGCTCCAGGGCCCCAGAACCGGTGGCATTTGAACCTCAGGGGTTAAATAGGTTCAGCTACTGCAGTGCCTGGTTTGTGACACCACAGGGCTGGCCAACAGTGGGCAGGGCACCCAGGCCTCGCTGCCTTGGGAGCCACAGAAATCTATTTCTTCTGCCTAAAACAGACCAAAAGTATTTCTGCATTTCAGGTTAAATCAAAGGTTGTTTCAATATAGCGATTCTGGTGGGAGGGGCCCACAAAGCCCATCTGTCCCCTGCCCCCCTCAGGCAGGACACCTCCCCCATCCCTTTGAGATTCATCAGTCTAACAACCAATTCGTACTTTTTAATTTCTTCATCTTTTTCACCCATCTCCCCAGCCCCTCCTATCTGGCAACCAACAAAAATTCTCTGTATCTATGAGTCTGTTTCTGTTCTGCTTGTTCATTTTGTTCATAAATTCAATTGTTGATAGATATGTATTAATTGCCATTTCATTGTTCATATTTTTGTTCTTCTTTGAGAAGATCCGTCCACATTTCATATAATACTGATTTTTGGTGGTGGTGAATTCCTTTAGCTTTTTCTTGCCAGGGAAACTTTATATGGCCATCGAGTCTAAAAGATAGCTATGCAGGACAGAGTAATCTTGGTTGTAGTTTCTTGCTTTTCATCACTTTGAATATTTCTTGCCACTCCTTTCTGTCCTGCAAAGTTTCTTTTGAAAAGTCAGCTGACAATCTTATGGTAGCTCCTTTGTAGGTAACTAACTGCTTTTCTCATGCTGCTTTTAAGATTCTCTCTTTGTCTTTAAAGTTTGGCTTTTTTTTTATCCTCACCCGAGGACATTTTTCCTTTTTTGTTGTTGTTGTTGTTGTTCAGATAAAGTGGGAGGGAGAGAGAGAGAGAGAGAGAGAGAGAGAGAGAGAGAGAAACATCGACGTGAAAGAGACACATTGAGTGGCTGCCTCCCGCATGACCCCAACCAGGGCCAGGGACAAACTGCAATTGAGGTACATGCCCTTAGCGGGAACTGAACCCGGGTCTCTCTGGACCACAGACCAATGCTCTAACCGCTGAGCCAAACCGGCCAGTGCTAAACTTTGGCATTTTTATGATGATGTGTCTTGGTCTTGGCCTCCACCTCCATGCCAGCTGGGGTTCATCTTGTTTGGGACTCTCTGTGCTTCCTGGACTTGTATGCCTGTTTCCTTCACCAAGTTAGGGACGTTTTCTGTCATTATTGTTTCAAATAGGTTTTCAATTTCTTGCTCTCTCTTTTCCTTCAGGCACCCCCATGATGCAAATGTTGGTACACATGAAGCTGTACCAGAGGCTCCTTAAATTGTCCTCATTTTTTTTTTATTCTTTGTTTTGATTGGATGTTTTTTGCTTCCCTATATTCCAAATCGATGATTTGTTTCTTGGCTTCACCTACTCTACTATCAATTCCCTGTAAATTACTCTTTATTTCAGGTAGAGCAGAGCCTACTTCATTTCTGACTGGTCCTTTATTATGCTCTTAAGGGCCTCACTTAAGTTCCTTGGAGGTCTCACTAAGTTCCTTCAGCATTTTTATAACCATTGTTTGGAACTCTGCATCTGATTGCTTATCTCCGTTTAATTTAGTTCTTTTCCTGGAGTTTTGTTCTGTTCTTTAATTTGGGACATGTTTCTTTGTCTCCTCATTTTGGCTGCCTCCCTGTGTTTGTTTCTATGTATTAGGTAGAATTGCTATGTCTCCTGGGCTTCCTAGGGTGGTTGCTTCTTTTGCTGGGCTTGGAGGTGCCCAGGAAAAGCCAAGCTGTGAACCAAGGCTGGCTGCTTCTAGTGCCTGGCCTGGGGCCACTTAGCAATAGGAATGGGGCTCACTGAGACCAAATGCTGCTTATTTGAGAGAATTTAGGAAAATCTGAAGCAGGAGCCAAAACAGACCAATCCAATGGTAAAGCCACTGGAAACAGCGTGGGTGGTCCCAAAAGATGGGTGAGACAGGGCCTCAGGAAATCACCAGGGTGGGGCAAACAGTGTGAGCCAGGTTGCTGGAGTCCCAGATGTGGTGCCCATCTGTGGGCCCCATGGGGGCAGGGCTCACCCGTGGAACAGCAGCCTCCACCAGCACGTGTGCCTGGGACAAAGCTGCCCCTCCAGCTCTTGTTCAGATGCCAAACATCTCAGTTCTTCCCCATAGGTCTCTGGTGCCTTTCAAACTGCCTCCCCCACACTGGAGCCTGTAGGGAGTGGGTCCAAGTAAGTTCATGCGCGGGCCCTTTAAGAGGAACTGCCTGGCCCGGCCAGTGTGGCTTAGTGGTTGAGCATCAACCCTGCACCAAGAGGTCGCCAGTTCCATTCCCAGTCAGGGTATGTGCCCAGGTTGTGGGCCCGATCCCCAGTGGGGGGCATGCAGGAGGTGGCCAATCAATGTTCTCTCTCATTGATGTTTCTATCTTTCTCTTCCTCTCCCTCTAAAATCAATAAAGAAAAAAATAGTTTTAAAAAAAAAGAGGAGCTGCCTGGGGCTCCAGCAGCCTCAACCTCCCTGAGCCTCAGTTCCCGTGGTTTTTCCAGCCAGAAGTTATGGGGATTCTCTTCCTGGCACTGGAACCCTGAGCGGGGCGCCTGGTGTGAGATGGGGACCCCTCAGTCCTCAGGGAGGACCTTCCCAGCCGAGGGAGCCTCCTGATTTTATCCACCACACGTGGGTGTGGGACCAGCCCTTCCGCCTCCGCCCCTCCTACCAGTCTCGATGTGGCTGCTGCTTTAATTCCATAGCTGTAGGACTTCCATTCAGCTCGATGTCAGATGGTTCTGAAGGATGTTTGTTCTGCAGTTTGTCATTTTGATGTGGTTGTGGGAGGAGGCGAGACCGCGTTTACCTACGTCACCACCTGAACTGGAAGTCTTGCTTCTCTGTATTTTTTATCCTCACCCGAGGACATTTTTCCATTTTTTGTTCAGATAGAGTAGGAGGGAAGAGAGGAAGAGAGAGAGAGAAACATCGACGTGATAGGGACACATGGAGTGGTTGCCACCTGCACGACCAACCAGGACCGGGGACAAACTGCAACCGAGGTACGTGCCCTTCGCAGAAACTGAACCCAGATCTTTCTGGACCACAGGTTGATGCTCTAACTGCTGAGCCAAACCAGCCAGGGCGCTTCTCTGTATGTTTAAGGACTTCTCTAAGGGACAGGTTGTTCTAGGCCCTTACACTGTGGGGTCTGTCCCCTCACCCCTTCCAGCCCCCACACTGCAGGGGTGACTGACATAACAGGCCAGATTTCTGAGCATAAATCAGGTCCCGGTAGAAGGTGACCCAGAGGACAAGGGCAACAGGAGCCTGACCCCACCCCAGCCAGAGGACCCCCTCTTTTCCGGGCCCTGGTCCCCCCACCATCCTGTCTCCATTCCCCTGATGTGCCCCGAGGACATGCAGTAGGGGTGAGGGGCATCCAGCCACCCGGTGGGCACTCAGCAGTACGACGGGGAGCATGAAGGCCACCCCCCCAGCCTGGGCCACACCATTTCTGCTCACCCACGACGTCACCTCCAGGAGGCCACCACCACCTCCATCCCCCTCCCTGCCTGTGTGGGGCTCCGTCCTGCCCTGCCCATCCAGGAAGTGACTTTTCATTGGGACTTTTGGGGCAGCACCTCTGAGGTGCCGGCACACAGTTGGGTGCTATAGACAGCGAGAATCTCTGCTGGCAGGTAGGGGACCCTGCCTTTCCCTTGTCACTGGGTCTGTGGCGGGCAGGACGGCCGTGAGCATGGCCCCCAGGCTGCCTCTGCTCCCCTTGCTCCTAGCGCTGGCCCCTGGTCTCCTGCCTGCGGCCCTGGCCACCACAGGTAAGCACTTCCTACCACCCCCTCCCAGGTCCCCCAGCGGGCTTAGCGTCCCCTCCTGCCACCCCTGCAGTGTGCCTGGGCACACTCCTTCCCAGGAGGGGTGGTCAGGGATGGAGCCTGCCTGTCAGCAGCCAGCCCCTGGACCTGGTGATGTCTGGGTGCTGGATCACCAGGGGTCTGATCCCCATTTACTTCACTGCGGTATCTGGGGACTTTCCACCGTGAGTGGGCCTTTGTCAGAGGGACTGCATCACTGAGGGCACCTTTAAACAGGCCGTGGGGTGTTCTGCAGGGTGGGGAGCCCCGTTACCCTTGGTTGGCAGGCACAAGCCTTGTGCCTCAGAAAAGCTGCAGGATTGAATTCACTGAGAAGCTGAGGTTTGGGTCACGTGAAAGAGGGTTTGTGGTGCCCGGGCTGGGTGGTTCAGTTGGCTGGAGCATCTGTGCACCAGAAGGTTGTGGGTTTGATTCCCAGTCAGGGTTCATACCTCGGGTTTGGGTTCGATCTCCAGTTGTGCATGCTGGAGGCAGCCGATCGATGTTTCTCTCTCACATAGATATTTCTCTCTCTCAAACCAATAAAATAAATCTTTAATTTTTTTAAAAAGGAGGTTTGTGTTTGCACTAGGAAGGCTGGACAGATGAGGGGAATGGTTGGAAAGAGAGAGTGGGACATAACAGTGCCACCGGCTATCTTGCAGACTGTCATTTAATTTAAAAAACATTTGTTTTAATTTATTTGAGAAAGAGAGAAACATGGATTTGTTGTTCCACCTGTTGATGCATTCATTGGTTGATTCTTGTATATGCCCTGACTGGGGATCGAACCCACAACCTTGGTGGATCAGGACGGTGCTCTAAGCAAATGAGCCACCTGGCCAGGGCATGAGAGAGAGAAGGAGCAGAGCCAAGGAGAAGCCCTAACTTTCCCGCTTAGGGTGGGGAGAGGTCGCAGGCAGCCTGAACCCTTCAGAACTCCAGCACAGCCCCCCACTGACGCCCTGAACAGCTTCCAGGCTCCCACGCTGGGCCTCATCTGTGATGACGTGTCAGTGGGGCCCCTTCTTCCTGCAAAGAGAAGGTTTCTGTTCCTCTGGTCAAGCAGGGGTGACAGTCTTGGGTCCTCTCTGCAGAGGTATGGCAGTTCCCCTCCTACGCAGTCACCCCAGATGGGGGCTCCATCAACATCACCTGCTCCACCCGAGGACCCCTGCTCGGGCTCTACCTGATAAAAAGTATTTGGCAAAACACAACCAATGTGATATACCACGGTGTTGGGGCGACACCCACTGTGGATCGGCGGTTCAAGGGCCGCATCGTCTTCTCGGGGCCGACGCACAACCTGACGGTCACCATGCACCGCCTGCAGCAAGCTGACTCTGGTGCCTACATCTGCGAGGCCATCACGATGAACCAGAAAGTCTGGGGCTCGGGCACCTTGGTGGTGGTGACAGGTACAGAGTGCGCCCACCCCTAGGACCATTCCACTTACCTGCTGGCTGGACCCTCTCTGGGCACCTTCCCTCTCTACTTGCTGGAATTTCTTCCAGCTTAAGCCCACCTCCTTCAGGAAGTCTCCTGGATTTCACCCCCAACTACAGAGCCTCCCTGCCCTGAACCCTGAAGGCTCATGGACTCCCCCAATCGGCCAAGAGCCTCTGTTCGCTCCTTCTTCCCAGACACAGTGTTCTACGTGTCAAGCACGTGCCAGGAGACCTCACTGGTACACACCTCCTTCCCTGTGGTCCTGGCTGTGGGCCTCCTCGTCGTGCTGGGCCTGGGGGTCGTGTGTGTGCTGAGGTGGACGCAGGTCAGTGTGACCCTCCGCTGTCGCCTGTGCCCCTATAAGCCTGCTGCCCTCAGAGAGCAGGGAGGGAGATGAGCAGTCAGGTCTTGGGAGCCGGGCACCAAGGAAAACCCAGCGCCCACGCATTCCCTCCATGAGGCCCTGGGAGCTCAGAGGGGCCGAGGTGGGAGAGAAACCCCAGAACGGGAGCCCCCAGGAGTCCTAAGGACTCAGGGGTGTTGGACGCACACGGGACCGTTTGAGGCACGGGGCGAGGAGGTCCAGAGAGCGCGGGGTCTGTGTACAGCTGCCTGCACACATGTGTGATGTGTGTGTGAGCGTGTAAGAGTGTGAGGCCTGTGGTGTGACATCGGTGTGCGAGCCTGTGTGAACCTGGGCTGGAGGTGGGAGGGGAAGGCAGTGGGGACGGAGGCCAGGAGACAGTCACTGGGGCCCCTGGCCACTCAGCCTTTTGCTCCACCAGCTCCACGTCCCCTGCTGCCTGCCAGGCCCCTCCCTCCCTGACAAGGTCGCTGGGGACAAGGTCACTGCCATCCTCCACTTCCTTGCCCCTGCCCCTGGGCCCGGCCCCTGCCCCAGGCCTAGGGCAGCTCAGGAACCCACCTGAGTGGGGGGTGCTGGCGAGGAGGTCCCTCCTGAGTGAGCCTTATGCATGCCCAGGAGGTAAAATCTGGACGCTTCCTGAGGGGTGGACATTGAAGAAATGGGGCCCCCGAGCCAGCCGGCACCCCATTAAGAGAGACAGGCTTTTCCCTTCAGATCAGAAAACTGTGCTGGGCCAGGAAGGAGAGCTCGGTGTGTGTGGTGTATGAAGACATGTCCTGCAGCCGCCGGGACACCGTGAGCACCCCCAACCACTACCAGCTGTGACCGGCCTCTCCGGCCCAGCACTGTTCCTGACCCCCCCCCCCGGAAGTCTTCCGTGCATGCCTCGCCCCTCGAGGTGCCGTGCTCACCCCACCAGGCGGACCCTGGCAGGTCCCTCACACGGCAGGAGGGGCTCCTTCTTTCCACAGGCTTGAGCCCCACAGCAGGCAACCTGGGTTGAGCCCCCAACCCAGGCTCGCCAGAAATAAAGTGCTTCCCTGTTCACCTCCAGTGTGTACTTCTCACCAGACTGGCCCCCCAAGGCTCACAGCCAGACCCCTCACGTGCCTGAAGGAAACAAACAGCCACCAGCAGCAGAAAATGAGTCAGCAAGATGTCCGTGTGGGAAAGTTAGGGGTGAAACTAGCCGAGGACCCGGTGGAGTGACTGCAGGAGAGGAAGTGACCCGGGCGGAAAAGAGGGGGAAAGGGACCACCTCAGGCCTGAGACTCAGGTCATGAGGGTGACCCCTGCCAGGGCAGGGGCTGGGAGGGTGCTCACGTCAAAGAACCGAAGAGGACAACCAGGGAGGGACGGGCGCCAGGTGCCTGGACAACCTGGGGACTAGCACCTCAAAAGCAGGGGGACCCTAAAACTCAGCGCTGCATTTGAGAAGGCAATGGGATGATCCCATTAAGTGCTGGGAAAAGGGAAGAGAGACAGGGGGGGCGCTGAGGTCAGGGCTAACAAGAACCGGGGATGGGTGGCCAGCCACGGTGACCACGCCAGGCTGGTGGCTGTGCAGGGCAGGGAGGGACCACCATCTGGGGCTCCGCCTGGGGCCCTGAGCTCACCCCTGCAGCATCTGGGGGTCACCCTGCCCTCCTCACCCCTGGGTGGGCTCAGGGAAGCGGCCATACAGACAATGAAGCATGAGGAAACTGCAGGGTAGCACAGAGAGCTGGGGGTGGGGAGTAGGTGGGGGGCTGGGCTCAGGCAGACGGAGGGGCTCCCCAAGAAAGCGATGCAAAATTGCAGATGCAAAGTCAGGTACAAGAGCAAGTATTTATTTAAAAGAAAAACAGAAATCACACATTTTTAAAAGCATCTAAAAAGCCCTGGAAATAACAGATTTAAATAACAATAGACACCACAATCATGCTGCTTTGTGCTACAAGGTTTCACTGCCTGCCTTTGGTTGCACCCACTCAACAATTTCACACTCCACTCACCTCACGCTTCCTTCCTGGACCGCAAGGAGGGGGCCACGGGAGCCCCTCAGTCCTCCCTCCGCCCCGCACGCACGCTGAGCCGGCCCCAGAACAATGGGGTGCCTGGAAGAAATCTCTATTTGCTTCCTGTGGCTGCCCTGACAAATTACCACAAATTTAGTGGCTCAAAACAACAGAAATTTATTTCCTTACAATTCTAGAAGTTCAAAATCAAGGCCCTCGGGGGAGCTGTCCCCAGCCTCTCACACACCCGTGGTGCGGGCCCCCCTCGGCTGTGGGCCTCGCCCCGTGTCTGCGAGTGTGAATCCAAGCCTCTCTCTTCTGATGAGGACGCCGGGCTGCATTGGTTTTCAAGCCAGCAGGGCGGCCCCTCCTTAATTTGACTAAGGTCCCATTCGCAGGCTCTGGGTGCACATGAATTCAGGGCACACCGCTCACCCGTACACCGCCCCTCTCCCAGATGGAGAGCAAGCAGCTGGTCTCTCCCAGAGCCACTGCACACCCATAAACAGACCCCAGTAAACCCAGCTAAGGCGTCCCAGCTCAGCTCCCCCTCAGCCCGGCCCGGAGGCTGCATGGGCCAGGCTGCTGGAGATGCTGCACACTGGGCGCCTGCCCACTTGCTGCCTGGGGGGCCAGGGTCCTTGAGGGGCAGCACTGATCCTGGTGGCGGACCCCACTCAGGCCCTCACCCCAGGTCCTGAAGCTTCCCCGAGGCTCCAGGATGGTCACCCCAAGCCTCCATCCCACCACAGGACCGTCCAACTTCGCCACACACATTTGCTGTGGGTCAACTGGGAGCCCCCCCCCCCGGGAGACAGGGACACCCCACTAAGCAGCAGTGGACCTTTGGCAGGAGGAACAGTCTGGGCCACGCCCAATCGATGTCCAGTTTGGGGTTCCAAAAGTAAAACCTCGAAATGACTTGCACCTCGCCCAACGAATCCTGATGCATGGCCCCTGCCCCGGTGCAGGTCTAGGCACTGGGGTCACAGCGGCAAATAAACCTATCCCCGGGCAGCGGGTGCCCCCATGGAAGAGGGAAACACCTGTGACGGCAGAGCCCAGCGCCCTCTGAAAGGCGGCCGGGGCAGAGCTCTCTGTGCAGGTGGGAGCACCTGATGTGCCTGGGGACCTGCCCGGAGCACAGGGAGGGGAGGTGGGGGGTGGGCCCGGGGGAGTGGGAGGAGGGGGTCATGCAAGCACTCTGGGAGGGCCAGGGGCAGTGGGACCCACCAAGGCCACAGCAGTGTCCCCATGACTGAAGACAGGGGTGACCCAGGCAGTGACCCTGCCTGGGACAGGCATGGGAAGAGGTGGAGACCGAGGACCGCCCGCCCCAGGCTCCCTGCAGACAGGCAGCGGCTGAGGCTGTCCACGTAAGAAACGCCAGCCCTGGAAGAACTTTCATGGGTTTATCGGAGCCACACTGGCGACAGTTGCCAGGAAGCAAAATCTCGACGGATCGAGACGATGCTCCAGAGAACGGCAGTTTTGCAGCTTATTTTACACATTACAACCCAAGGAGGAGGCACCAGGAGGGCCACATGACATTCAGTGGTGACAGATTAGGGAGGTGGGAGATGTCTGGGATTGGATGAAAAGTCAAATGAAGAGAAAAGTACTTAGCCCTGACCAGTCTGGCTCAGCAGTTAGTCAGACCGAAGGGTCTCGGATTCGACTTCTGGTCAAGGGCACATACCTGGGTTGCAGGTTCGTCCCCACCCCGGTCGGGGTCATGCGAGAGGCAACCAATCAATGCGTCTCTCTCACATTGCTATTTCTCTCTCTCTAAAAAAAAAAATATCAATGGAAAAATATCCTCTGGCGAGGATTAACAAAAAAAAAAAAAAAAGAAGAAGAGAGAGAGATAGAAATACTTCTTTTACATTGGTGGGTACAGGACGTTAACAATGAACATTTGTAGCACACAGAGACGGTGTGTGGGAACAAGATAACAGTGAGGGCCCTGGCAGGTAGCTCAGTGGTTGATGCATCGGCCCGAGGAATGAATTGTTGCAAGTTCAAGTCCTAGTCAAGGGCCTGTGCCTGTGTTGTGGGTTCGAACCCAAGCCCCAGTCACGATTGTACAGGAAGCAACCTGTACAAAAAAATGGAAAAATGTCTTCAGGTGAGGACAATTGACCTTTGTCGATGTCTCCGATGTCTCTCTGGTCTCTCTGTCCTGCCCCCCCCCCCCGGTCCCCACCGCCCCCCCCCGGCTCCTTTCACTCTATCTAAAAAAAAAGAAAATCCGCCCTGGCCAGTTTGGCTCAGCAGTTAGAGTGTCGGCCCGCAGTCGCAGATTCGATTCTGGTCAGAGGCACATACCTTGGTTACAGTTTGGTCCCCAGCCCTGGTCGGGGTCATTCAGGAGGCAGCCACTCGATGTGTCTCTCTCACATCGATATTCTCTCTCTCTCTGTATCCTTCCCACTCTGTCTGTAAATCAATGAAAAAAAATATCCTCGGATGAGGATGAACAAAAAGTAAACAAACAACAGTGAGGGGCTCTGTGGTCTGTGCTCTGGTGGGGAGTTGTGCCCTGAGGGTCTGGAAAAAGGGGTTACTCAGACTTTTCTAAGGTTAGATGCAAAAAGCCCAAAGTTCAGTTAAGGTAGAGATCGACCTTTGTAGCCCTGGCCGGTTTGGCTCAGTGGTTAGAGTGTCGGCCTTTGGTCCAGAGAGACCCGGGTTCGGTTCCTGCTAAGGGCATGTACCCTGGTTACGGTTTGTCCCCGGCCCTAGTTGGGTCGTATGGGAGGCAGCCACTCGATGTCTCTCTCTCACGTTGATGTTTCTCTCTCTCTCCCTCCCACTCTATCTGAACCAAAAAAAAAATGGAAAAATGTCTTCAGGTGAGGACAATTGACCTTTGTCATGGAAAACACCTGCCTAGGACAGACATGACTCACTTTTAGGTAAGACGCTTTCATTTCAGACCATCCTGTGTGGTTACTTTAGGTCTCTGACTTTGTCGGGCACCCGCAGAGGCCTCCCCTGAGCTTGTCAGGTTGAGTTTGTGGCTGCTTTTCTGTCCACAAGGCCCAGGCCAAGGCCGGGCTGGGTGTGAGAGGCCAAGCAGGTGTCCTGGTGAGGGGGCGGGAGAGGATGAGAGAGAACTAATCATAGGGGGTTACTGGCCATAGTTATAAGACATGTTGAACATCTTTGCTCTGTTCATCGTGATTGCTTTCTTCTGATTAGAGAGAGCCCACTCTGACCTGGCTGGGAGCTGCACGCCCTGGGGTTTTACCTGGGGAGTGCCGCCCATTCTCCTTATCCGAGAACGGCCCCCTCATCATGGGAAGACTAACAACCTTGGCCCCTGCAGGTGGTGCCCTGGAGACAGCCCAGCCCACATCCCTTCCCCATGTCTGTCATCAGTAGCCAGGTTTATCTTTCGTTATTCCTTTTTGCCTACAGGCCCTTCCCCACTTAGCTACCCAATACAAACGACCGCCTAGCCAGGGAGTCCAGAGCAGATGTTTCAGGGACGACCTGCGGCTCCCCGGTACTGCCAGCAATATTGGATTCATATATAATTCAACATGGTCTCTGCTCAACTGCTCCATAAGGACAGGCAGCCAGACCCATCCGTTGTCTGGTTTCACTGGGGATGGAGGAGGGCCTCAGCCAGACACGGGGCCACCCTCAGCACGAGTCGGGGTCAGGGCTGTAGGCAAGTCCATCTGTCTCCCTCACTGCCTGGTGGGTCTGCAAACCTGGGAACAGGAGAGCCCTCCCCCACCCCTCCTGGTAGGTGCTGAGCTGTCAGCCCCTCTACCAGCGCCTGCCTGCCTCACCACAGAGGAGGCTGCGATTGGGCTGGGCTGGGGACTGCAGTCAGGGTGCAGGAAAAGGCTGCTGGGCCTGCAGCAATCCCCAAGCTCTCACACCCACATTGGCCTGACATCTGCCCTCAGCCCTGCTCAGCTCTGCAGCCCCACAACCCCCAGCCCCCAGCACCCTTCCCCAGTCGGTCCCCCAGCCCCCCTCCACCCACAATAGCACAAGCGACAACCACAGCCGACATCCGTGTC